GGATTTCAGCTCAGGCTCATCTCCCAGGAGGCCAAGCAGGTCCCCACAACCACCCTGTGGTGACTTCCCCAGGTCTGGAGTGGGTACCTGGAAAATGTGTCCCCCACAGCTGGCAGAATCCCTGCATTGGTCCCTGACCTGTGGGGTGAGGGCTGTTATGGTGGCAAAGGCCAGTGGAGACCACTAGAATGGCCTCTGCCAGGAAAAATATAAACCAAGTGCAACCCCCCATTCCTGGTGAGAGTGCCCAGAACGGGAGCTTTTTGCTCTTATTGGAAGAGACACCTACTCTAGGCAGAGACTTGCCTTCCCTGCACACGTGCTGCTGCAGAAGCTGCCGTCCACTGACCACAGGGCCTGTCCTGCACCTCAGTTCCCCCCAGGCACTGCTCTGACCAGGGCCTCACCTCACAGCACATGGAATGCAGCAGTGGGCTCCTGCCCATGGAGGCCACTGGCCTCACCGTCCTCAAACAGCTGGCTTCACAGGAAAGTGAAATGGCCTTTTGGAAACACAGTGATAGCACCAGCTAGGTGACTGTACCTTGCAGGGCTGGGGGAAGGTACTCCAGGAAGACACATATGCTCTGAATAGGTGATGCTGCTTCTCCCAGAACCAGGAATCCTAGGTCCAGGGATCAGGGGGAGGAATAGGAGAGACACCACTCATTCTTAACTCTAACAATCCACTAGCACATGCCCTGCCCCCTGTGCCTGAGACACCATGCTCTGCTGGCCCAGAGGGATCAGTTCTGGTAAATGAGAGAGGCTTCCACCAGAGACACAGCACTGACTCCATGGACACATCAGGGCCCCTCGCTCTTCAGCTCTCCAAACAGTGCAGCACCTCGGAGAGTGCCAGTCCCAGCTCCATCCTCCCTCCCTCACTGGGGCCAGGGCTCAGAGCAAATGACAGGCTGCTGAGCACAGAGATGGTGAGGGGGCAGCAACCACAAGGACAGCTGCCTGGAATGGGAACCGGGGAGGCACTGGCTGAGGCTGCCCACAGAGCCCAGGGAGAAGGAGTGCAGGACAGAACCCCCAGGAAGGGGGAGAGGAAGGGGAGGCACACAAGCATCAGGGGTTCTGCCTGGGCCCCGGGTGGGACTGTGTGTGGGAGGCAGGCTCAGCACCAGGACTTCACCCTCACAGCCCATGTGACAGAGAGCTCCAACCACAGCCCCGGATCAATGTGGACCTGACTCCTGACAGCTCAGCCATGGGCACAGGACGTGTGTGAGGCCCAGGTCACAGTTAACTGCACAGGAAGCAGCTCAGATCACCCAATCAGGACCACAGAGAAGTGTGTGGTGCTGTGTGTCCCCAGAACCAGGGTCCCTGTCCTGGGCCCCAGGCCCTGGAAGTGAGAAGGGACCATGACTCATCCATCCTGTCCCCCCTGCCCCCCTGACACAGTCCTCCCCCTCCTGACACCCCTGGTTCCTGCTCCTCCTTCTCCCCAAAGACCCACCACCCAGCACTCCAGCCACACACCACTGCACCCAGGGGCACCCTCAGTGTAGCCTGCTGGAGACAAACACAAATGGATACACATTCCTGGAACTGTGAGCCTGGTAACATCTCTCTGAGGGAAGAGGCAGGGCCAACGTACTTACAGGAACAGAGACTCGGACTCAGGGACCTGGAACATTAACATGATATATTTGACCCCTGTGAAATGTCTGAAATCATATCAAATAAACCTGGTGACTGCTACACTCCCAGCTCTGTCCACCAGAGGGCAGCAGAGATACTCCACAGCGGGGAGCCACCCCAGGTGGCTGCTGATGCCCTAGGCACCCCCAATCAGCAGCACCCACAGTCCTCCTCACTCTCCATTCTCCCCACACAGGACTCCATCAGCTCCTCTACCCTGTCAGGTGTCTGCCTAGCAAAGGCTGGCCCTCTGCAGGCAGCTGCTCTCAACACACCCTCCATGTCCTTACAGGGGTGAATACTCACCGATGCGTCAGTCACAGCCAAAAGGCCACTTTCTCACTGTGTTGGGCTCTCTGTGACCCCCAGACCACCTGAGACTCACGTGGGAGCTTCAGACGTACCAGACACTTCCCCTTCACAGTCTCTCAATAATTGACTCCTTCTTTCCATGATTTCAGTGAGTGACAGTCTCTCTGTTACAAAGTAACCTCCATGAGCACAGGGCCCCTATGTCCTCTTCTCTGTGCAGTTCCCAGGGCCCAACACAGAGCCTGATATGTCCCAGAAGCTCAGTAAATGCTCGTTAAATGGATGAGGAAACCACACAGCAGACACCTGTCACCCGTGTGACACCTGGGGTCAGAGCATGTTTCTTAGACACCAAGGCACTCGTGTCAGCATGAAAAGAAGCCACCAACTGCCCACGGCTGTCACAGGGACAGGCCTGCCCTCCTTGTAGAGTCATCACGAAGGACGGGGACCTCCTGACAGAGAGGGGCTGGAACCCCCTCATTCCCAGAAAACCACAGCCCTCCCCACCTCCACCCTGTGAGTGACATCTCCTGGGGAGGGGGCGGGGCAACAGCCTGAGTCCTTCTCTCCTCACAGACCTGACAGGGCCCAAACTCTGGGCTCTCCACCCTGGTGAGTCACCACCAGGGAAGGGGGGAGTCCATCCTGACCACAGAAGAACCAGGGGTGACTCCCCATCCACAGGGTCCCTGGTCCAGGGGAACACCCACCTGTGGTCCCCAGCAGACATCTCACCAGCCAGCCCATGGTGTCCTGGGGAACAAGGGGCACTCCCCATGCCTGATGGGACAGGAGGACCAGGATCTGGGGTGGCTCCATCTCAGAGGGGCTGAGGGTCCCACAGGGCCTCCCCACCCCCTGTCCGAGTCTCCACGTGGAGCTGCTACAGCTTCTGGGCCTGTAGGGATCCCAGAGCAGATGACAGACAGGGATACTGATGACTTGTGGTGGGGACACACAGGGCCATCCCACAGGCCTCAGCCCTCTCCTGAAACACTCAAGAGACCCCTCACCTGGCCCTTCCTTTGAAACCTGGGGGACAAAGAGCTCCTCCTGAGACAACACATCCCCCTGGGGGACAGTTCTCCTGACACAGGATCAAGACCCCTCTGAACAATGCCTGTCCTCTCTCTGGGCTCAGTCAGCCCTGGGATGGACTCAGAAGGCCTGGGGGTCACAGTGACAAGGACTTGGAGTGACTGGCCACTCAGCCTAGTGGTGAGAGTCCACCTCTGCCCAGGGCTCAGTGTCAGCTCCCACCCTCTGGAGCCTGGTCAGCAATCCTGGTACAGCTCTGACATGGGCAGCATCTCCATGTCCTCCAGGGGGCGACACTGAGACACACAGAAAACACACAGGAACCTCACACAAGAACCTTGTTTTGGCTAAGGAAGTAAACAAAGAGCTTGATTTCCATACCACAGACCTGTCTGGGCCCCTCCCACACACCTGCTCTGTCCCACCCCCTCCTTCTGGGGGTCTGGGAGCACCTGCTCTGCCAGGGGTCCCTGTGCTGCCACCCACTCCCTGCCTGGCACCACCCATGGGCAAGGTTGGATGACCACAGGGAAGTCCCCAGGCAGAAGACACAGGCTGTCCCCATGGTCAGGGAGCACATGGACAGGCTCAGTCAAGAGACACAGAGAGAGACAGGTCTCCCTGAAATTGTCCCTGAGGACCAGGGAGCCCTCAGCCACCAGACCGCCCACCACCATCTTTATTGCCAGGACACGCAGGACACCTCTCCCTTCACACCTGGGAACTGCAGGTCCTTCTGAGACACCCAGTCCTGGGTCTCTGTCCTTAGAAGTAGAAGCCATGCTGGGGACACCTGAAGACAGAGGGTGGGTCCCCTCACCAGTCATCACTCTGCTTGTCCCTTTCTCACCCCAGAGACACCTCCGTGACCTTCCTGCTGGGAGGACACCCACCTCCCCAGAGTATCTGAGAACCTGGGGAGACCCGGTGCCCAGCTGGGCTTAGTGTCACAGACAGAAACAATCCCCAGGTTTGGGAGCACAGGGGCTCTCTGAGTGGTGCTGACAGACCCCAAACCAGGACACAGCAGAGACCAGCACTGGAGAGAGAGGGTTGTCCTCGGGGAAAGGTTAGGGTGAGCTATTGGAGTGTGCTCCCTCGCTCCTGTGATATTTTTAATGAACAAGTTTAGGTGTTTACAAGAAATGTCAAATGAAACCTTCCGATGGATTTATTAACAAGCACTGGATTCTCACTTCTGTGTTTTGTTCACTATGTCCAGTTTCTTAAAAGGGCTCAAGAGAGCAGAATAAGTTCATTAAATATTTGGTAAATGAAAGAAGGAAAGTGAGCTCCACAGGCCAGCAAGATCAGCCTCCCCTGAGAGCTTGTCAGATGCAGAGTCTCTGGCCCACGGCACCCCTGCAGAGCCAGAGTCTGCATTTGTAAAGGGACCTGCGGACCCTCCCAGCACACAGGAGAGGAGGAGGGGCTGCCAGACCCCCACATCCTGGGGTCTCAGTCAGGCTGGGCTTCCATGTTAGGAGGGAAGCTGGAAAGCAGGGAGACAGCATTTCTATGGAGCCACCTGGCAACACAATCTTTACCAAGCTCCACAGATAAATCTATGAACAGCGGGGTGACATTCTGTGACGAGAGTTCCTGATGTGGCCCCAGGGCTCCTGCTCTAAAAGAAAAAAAAAAGTTAGGAATAAGAAGCCTAAGGTGACGCTACTGTGCACCCAACGTGCAGCCATGGAAGCGTCCCTCCCCGCTGTCCCAGGCTTGTGCAGGTCCACACAGTTCTCGCCTGTGCGCGGACGAAGGTTGCGGGTGGAGGGGTGGAGAAACACTCAGAAAAAGGCAGGAGGCTTCAGCAGGTCCCAGTGTCTAAAATCTAGACGGGGCAAGAAGGGAAGAAAGAGAACAGGGGAGGCGAGAATGGGCGGAGGGGCGAGGGGGAGGGAGGTCCCGGGCAGAGACTCCACCCCAACCACGTGACTGGAGAGCACCGCGGAACCCGAGCGTGCTCGTCACTGCTGGAGACACAGGGCAGATCGCACACTTCAGGACAGCGGAGCCCGTGAGATTTTGCACTTCTGGAATCCAAGCTGCTGTCACAGAGGGAGAAACAGAGCAGACAGAAGTTGCCATGGAGTCTCCGTCAGCCCCTGCCCGAAGAGGGCGTGTCCCCCAGCAGGGGCTCCTGCTGGCCAGTAAGGAAGGGCAGTCCCTGGGGTAGACGGGAGGATGGGGACAGAGACTGGCTGGGTCCCCTGGGGAGAACAGGGGCCTGAGAGGGGGCAGAGGGATTCTGCCTGGACCTGGGGGGAGAGGAGAGGGGAGCAGAGTAGGATGGGGGAGGGGCTCAGCAACAGGGAAATCTCATGATCTGAAGATGGTGAGAGGCAGGAAAACTTCAAATACATTTTAAAAGTTATTCATCACTGAGAAGTAATTTCTGAAAACTTCTGATAATAATGACAATTTATGTCAGGGTGACACAAGAACAACTCAACCAAGGCACAACAGTTCTTTTAACCATAAGCCTCATAAATGGGTAAATACACCCCAAGAGGGGCAGGACCCTGGGACCACTCCCTCATTGCCCCACAGGTACCTGCAGCCTGTCCCAGGCACTGGGGGTGCAACAGGGTCAGACAAGCCCCTGCCCCCGTGGAGCTCACACTCTATGGGGAGGAGACAGACAAGGAAAGATCTAGGTGTGAGGTCAGGTACCCCTAAGTGCCACAAAAGGAAAAGAATCAGGGCAGGTCAGAAAGTGAAGACAGAGGGTCATTAAAGGAGGTGGTCAGTGAAGGTGTCCCCTTGGATGCCCCTGAGTGTCAGCAGGGGTCTGAGGGCAGTGAGGGGGTGAGCTGGGCAGTATCTGGAGAAAAGCATTTGAAACAGAGGAAACAACAAGTTCAGAGGTGCTGAAGTAATGGCGGCCATGCTGCTGACCTTGACCGTGGGAGACACACACACACACACTAAAGCTGAGATGAAGACATCTGCCCAGGACCCTGGGCCTCGTCTTTCCCTCCCAACACATAGACCCAAATGCTGATGGATTTCTCTCTTCCCTCCTAGTCTCACTGTTAACCTTCAGGAGCCCACCCAGCACTGCCCAACTCACTGTTGCGTCGACCAGTGCTACTGAAGGGAAGGATGTGCTTCTCCTTGTCCTCAACCTGCCTGAGAATACTGCAGGCTATTCCTGGTTCAGAGGGGCAAGTACGGACAGCAAACATGGAATTGGAGCATTTTCAATAGAGACTCAAAAACTTCACCCCAGGCCTGCACACAGCAGAGAGACAATATACCCCAATGGATCCCTGCTGTTCCAGAAGGTCACCCTGAATGACACAGGATACTACACCATAGTTGTCACAAAAAAGGATTTTCTGACTGAAAAAGCAACTGGCCAGCTCACTATATATCGTAAGTGATTCCTCTCTGCCCTCTAGGTGTCAGGTGGGGTGAATTCTCCTCACACACAGGACTGACAGCCCTGGACTCTGCCTCCATCCCCCTCTGCTTCACGTCCTGGGGGATGGTTGGACATTTAGTACAGGACACACACAGTGGAAATAACTTCCTAAGATCAGAGTCCCCTCCCAGATTCCAGCCTTGCACACATTCACCACAGACTGAGTACCAGTCTGATGGGAGTAACTCATCAGAAAAAGACCAGTCTCAGTCCAGTTTCCTGGACCTCTCCCCATGACCATGACCCTGAGAAAGACCCTGCAGAGCTCAGACAGGGCCTGACCTGAGGGAGCATTCTGGGAATCTCACAGTCCCTCCACAGACCCTATCCTAGGGACCCTGGGGAGCCTGGGTCAGGCTGGGTTTGGTCTGTGGGCAGGGCTGACTGGGAGCCACAATTTTCCAGAGGCCTCAGTCACAAGGACCTTAACCTGGCCACCAGCCAGGGCTCAGATTCCACAGCAACCTCTGGTTACAAGTGGAGCCTGGTCCTTCTCCTGAGATTATGAATGGAGAGCACATGTGGACAAGGTCCCCAGGCCATTAGCTACCTGCCCTGGGGGACATAGGAGACTCCAGAAGAAGGTCAGGGTCCCCAGGGAGAAACAGAGAAGATGCTGCTCGCAGCCCCTTGTCCACCAGGGGTCAGAACAGGGCGTCTTCTGTCAGGGACACAAACAGTAACAGAGGCTGTTAGCTGGGGCACCTCCTCTGTTCCAAGTGTTAGGTCAGGAAATTGGGAAACAACAAAGGTTCATCCACAGACAACCTGGCAAGCCTGAGACCACTCACCATCTACCCTGTTTTATTCAGGGGAACTGAGTTACAGGGGAGCATTCACACAGAGTCACACACACCACGACTGTCCAGTCTGAGTCACACCAAGACCTGTCTGCAGTCCCAGCCCATCCTCCCCTCCCCTCCAAGGGCCTATCACACATATAGACCCCAACACCAACTGCTGGTTCAGATATGTTCTTCTTAGGCACCCTCAGCTCAGAGGGAGAGATTCTGGCCTGAGGAGTGAAAGGAAATGGAGGATTAATCCGTTTTCACTCCAGAACCAAAGTACCTGCAGTGACAATCAGAGTCAGAGCTGGGAACACCCAGGGCTCCCCCTCAGGCAGCCGATCCACACCTCCCTGCCCTGTACTGAAATCATTTATTGCTTCCTGATGTGTTGATGTCACTCCTGCTGGATATGAAGGGAAGGACTTTGCCTTCTCACGCCTCACTCCACACCTGCAACCAGCTCAGACACCAACATGTAACAAACACCCAGTTGATTCTGATGAAGAAGGAATTATGGTGAATGAGTAAATGAATGAATGAATGATAATCTCTATAGAGAATGGAACCTGGATGCAGAATTGTAAGAGATTTTCGTCACACATTTTCCCTGTCCCTCCAGAGGCTGAGACCCATGTTCCATCCCTCTGACCACCTTCCCCAAAAGCCCCCACCCCCAGGAGCCAAGTCTCACAGTGACTGTGGGGCTGCCCAGCTGCAGGAGGGACTTTCCGGACTGCACTGGTCCAGCCCTGGGGCAGCCCTGGGCTCTTGGTCCCTGGGGTCCTTGAAGTCACCTGTAACCCCCACTGCTCATCAAAAACATTTCTGGCTCTCTCTGCTCCTTCCATGTTTCTCACCTGCCTCTTCCTTCACTCCAGCCCCACTGCCCTCCTCTGCTCTGCCTCCTCCACCCTGCAGGCTCCCTGGATTCTCCCACTAGCACCTGTGTCCAGGCCCTCCCCCCTGGGCAACAAGAAAGGACAAAGAACTCAGTCTGAGCAGCAGCCCATGGCTCCATCAGGAGCCAGGTTCCCAGGTCACCAGGAGAAAGAGCCTCTGCTATGCCCCCATCCAGGGCTCCCTCCCTCCCTCATGCCAAGAACAGGAACAGGCCACCTGACAGGGACATGAAACCCATTGATCTACTCTCTACGTGACTCAGCCAGGGAGTCAAAGTCAGAAGGACAGGCCTCAGTCCCCAAAAGCTCACAGGATCACTTCACCCCTGACTCGTGACTCACATCCATGTGGTGTGAAGCTCCCATTCCTCCCAGGGACCTGGAGATATTCCCAAGGTGGGCTGGTGACCCTGTGCCATCTGACTGGTTCACTGCCTGTGTCACACCTGTGTCCTCATGATGGCACCTTTGCCATGGGGTGGGACCCTCTCAGACACTGTCCTTTCTCTTAGGTGCAGCCCATTTTGAATGAATTTGCTCAAACTCTAGTTTGGTTCCTAAGTTAGAGAGAAAAGGAAGAGCACATGCCACAGCCTGTGTGAGGGTGCCTCCCCATTGGCCTGACTGCCCACGGAAACTGGTAACCAAGTCCTTCTTCCTACATGTACCAGCATAACATGTATCTTTTCCACCAATTTTGTGTCATCCCTCCCTTTCTGCAACAGACACGCCTACACGTGCCCTCTGGTCACTTCTGTCCTCTTAGCAGGACTCACAGTCTCGCTCCAGAGAGTCACTGATTTTTTTAATAAATATTTTATTGTTGTTCCATTACAGATGTCCCAATTTTTCCTGCTTTGCTCTCCTCCACCCAGCCCACCACGTGCTCCCACAGACAAGCCCCACCCTGATGTCTGTGTCTGTAGGTCATTCATACATGTCCCCTGACTAGTCCCTTCCCCTTCTTCCTACCCTTCTGTCTCTCCTCCCTCCTCTCTGGTCACTGTCTGTTCCTTGTTTCCATGCTTCTGGTTCTGTGTTGCTCATTTGTTTGTTTTGTTCATTAGGTTCCAATCATAGGAGAGATCATATGGTATTTGTCTGTCACTTCCTGACTTATTTCACTTAGCATAATGCTCTCCAGTTCCATCCATGCTGTCGTGAATGTTAGGGGCTCCTTCTTTCTACTGTGTAGTATTCCATTGTTTGAATGTACCACCGTTTTTGGATCCACTCATTTGCTGATGGGCACTTAGGCTGTTTCCAGCACTCAGCTGTTGTAAATAATGCTGCTATGAACATAAGGGTGCATAGGTTCTTTTGAATTGGTGTTTCAGGATGCTTAGGGTATAATCCTAGCAGTGGAATCACTGGGTCAAAAGGCAGTTCTATCTTTTAGTTTCCTGAGGAAATTCCATACTGTTTTCCACAGTGGCTGGACCAATCTGCATTCTCACCAATAGTGCACTAGGGTTACCTTTTCTCCACAACCTCACCAGCGCTTGCTGTTTGTTGATTTCTTAATCATGGCCATTCTGACCGGTGTGAAGTAGTACCTCACTGTAGTTTTAATTTGCATCTCTCTGATGACTAGTGATGTTGAGCCTCCTTTCATATGTCTCTAGGCCCTCTGTATGTTCTCCCTGGAGCAGTGTTTGTTCAGGTCATTTGCCCATTATTTAATTGGATTGTTTGCCTTCCTAGTGTGGAGTCATATGAGTTCTTATATATTTTAGAGGTTAAACACTTGCACAAACCCTTGTGCAAGATATCATTTGCAAATATATTTTCCCATATGGTTGGGTTCCTTTTCATTTTGATGGTGGTTTCTTTAGCCATGCAGAAGCTTTTTAATTTGATATAGTTCCATTTGTCTATTTTTTCCTTTATTCCCCTTGCCCTAGGAGATACATTGATGAAAATATTGCTACTTGGAATATCTGAAATTTACTGCCTGTGTTTTCCTCTAGGACATTTATGGTTTCACCACTTATATTTAAGTCTTTTATCCATCTTGAGTTTATTCTGCTGTATGGTGTAAGTTAGTGGTCTAGTTTCACTTTTTTGCATGTAGCTGTCCAGATCTTCCAACACCACTTGTTGAAGAGGCTATTTTTACTCCATTTTATGTTGCTGCCCTCTTTATCAAATATTAATTGACCGTAGAGACTTGGGTTTATTTCTGGGCTCTATATTCTAGTCCATTGATCTATGTGCCTGTTCTTGTGTCAGTACCAGGCTGTTTTGATTACAGTGGTCTTGTAATACAGTTTGATATCAGGTATTGTGATCCCTCCTACTTTGTTCTTCTCAAGATTGCTAAGGCTATTTGGGGTCATTTTGGGTTCCATATAAATTTTTGAAATATTTGTTCTATATCTGTGAAATATGCCATTGGTATTTTAATAGGGATTGCATTAACTGTATAGATTGCTTCAGGTGGTATGGACATTCTAATATGTTAATTCTTCCAATCCATGAACATGGATTATGCTTCTATTTATGTATACAGATCTTCCTTAATTCCTTTCTTCAGGGTTCTGCCATTCTCTGAGTACCTGTCTTTTACTTCCTTGGTTAAGTTTATTCCCGGATACTTCATTGTCCTTGTTGCTATGGGGCAGTCACTGATCTCAGACCCACTGTACCTTCTTCCTTTGGTCACAGTGTGACCCTGGTGGAATGCAGACTTGGTCTCTGACCTTCAATGATCTCTTGAAAAAGAGATTCCACCAGAGACTGGACTTACATCTTTGGGACACAAATAATAATTTTCACTTACTCTTCACAATTTAACTCAAAGTCCCATCCCGTAATGCCAAAAAACAGAATGGTCCATGAGGGCCATATTTCAGCAAGTTCAAGCTGCCCCACTTCCCACAAATCACCCCTTCTGTAGTTGCTGTCGTCTGAATGTCTGAGGAAGAGTCCCTGCCCACTGCAGTGGGAGACAGGACAGTAAAGACTGAGGGCAGAGAGCCTGGTTCTGCTGCCAAAGCCAGCCAGCTCCTGTGTCCCTCACCCTGTCTCAATCATTCCTGGACTCTGCTGTACCCTTTCTGGGGTCACTGTCTCATGTCAGTCACCAATGAACTCCTGGGCACACTGTCCACCTCATAGTCCTGGGGGGGGCTCCACCCACAGGGTCCCCCCCCCAACCCAGCCACCACGGATGAGAATAAGTCTACCAAGATATGATCTGCTTGAGGAGGCAAGGTGGCCGATCTCTGAAAGGTGAAGGGCCAGGAGCCTGTTCCTCAATGGGCTTTTATTGGGTTTGTTTACACAGGAATTCACGTAAAGCTCATTAATCATTGTCAGGCAGTAAGTATCAAACAACAGATAACAAAGAACTCTGAGGGCCTACTTTGAGTCTGGATCAGATAGCTAAAGAGCTATAAAACTTTGAGGAACAAACTTACTTCTTGCTTGGACCCTTATCATTTAACTGAGAGCATTCTAAACAAAGCAGGTTTCACAGGATTTTACATATTCTTTCTTAGGCATGATCTCCTGGGGAATCTGCCCTTTCCAGCACAGGCCTGCACCACCCTCTGTCATTGTTTCAGGCTTAGGTAGAGCAAGGGAAGTAAGGCAGCCAAGAAATTAGGAGATTTCTCGCAGACAATGAGAACTCAGGCTTTGTCAAAGCTAAGGGGCGAGGGTCCATCACCCCCTTTTGCTGTAGCCCCCAAAGTCCTTCCTTGGGGGCTTCCCATGTGATCATGCCTGTCTTAGATCATTCCCCCTTGGGGAATCTTACCCATCATTGGCTAACCGACCAAGCATTGGAGGCCAATTATAGATGAAGTAAAAGGAGCAGAAGCAGCCCTCCTGCCAGGGAGATAAGCTTTTGTCTCCTTGGTGGCTTACAGGTCCAAGGTCCTTCAGCCTTAGCTTTGGTGGGAGTTACAGCTTCTGAAACCAGGCAGGGCAGTTCCCAACAGTCCTGCAGCCTCAGTTCTGAACTGACCACCAGACTTACTTCTGGTCTCCCCATGTATGGGTTCTGCTCAAATACTCAGTCCCAGGCCACACTGCCCAGCCTTCTCAGGGTTTAAGGACAATGGGATGACCCATCATGAAACATCTCTAGTATAACCCTAGAATATGAGGCTTCCATGAAAACACATCTCAACCCAGCAATAGATCTGTGCAGCTTGAAAAGACTCAGCACCCGCACATTCCAGGTGAGGCCTCAAGGTTGGTCAGGCAGTGAGTTGATCAGTGAAGAACCAGGACAGGTGTCCTATGGTCTTTGACTCCCAGGCCTATGTCCTTCCATGATCACATCCTGATACTTAACTGACTCCTGAGAATGTCTGTGCTTTCCCCCAGACACAGAGCTGGAGGTCTTACATTCTCTTGAGCGCTCAGGTCCTCATGTTGTTGTGTGATAGACACACCTGCCTTGTTCTTTTAAGGATTCAAGTTAGCTGAAAGGTGAGAGGTGCCAACTCTGATTGAAGATACCCTTGAAAAAGTCAAAGGTACCACCCTGGGCAATGTTCTCTCTGTTACCTGCACAGCACCATTACCCTAACCCAGCATCACAACCAACAACTCCAACCCCGAGGAGCACAAGGACCCTGTCCTGTTAATGTGTGAACCTCACACTCAGGACACCACCTACATGTGGTTGATCAACAGTCAAAGCCTCCAGGACAGTGCCAGGCTGGAGCTGTCCAAGGACAACAGGACTCTCACTTTGCTCCATGTCATGAGAACTGACACAGGACCCTATGAGTGTGAAACTCAGAACCCAGTGAGTGCCGGCCACAGTGACCCCTTCAGCCTGAATGTTTTCTGTGAATAAATTCTGCCCTGTGCGGTCCAGGCTGCCACCCGAATCCACACACCAGTGGCCACGCCACATCCCTCTCAGTCCAAGGACATAGACCCTCATCCTGGACACTCATGTTAACTGTGAATCCGCATTCACAGGAAAATCCAGGCAGGCCTCAGGGTTGGGACAAACTGGTTGTCTCAGACTCAGCTCAGTAAACAGGAGGTTGTGGATGGAAATTTTTTTTAAAGGCTGGGGTCCAGCTCAGAGGGACACTGGGGCCCTTACACAGACCAGGAGCTTCCCCTTCCCTCTGATGACATTATGTATGGCTTTGCTCTGTTTGCTCCAGATGGCCCAGACACCCCCTCCATTTCCCCCTCAGACTCCCATTACCCACCAGGGGCAAACCTCAGACTCTCCTGCCAGGCAGCCTCTAACCCACCTGCACAGTATTCTTGGCTTATCAATGGGAGACCCCAGCCACCCACACAGGAGCTCTTTATCCCCAGCATCACTGCAAGTGACAGTGGATCCTACACCCGCCTCACCCATAACTCTGTCACTGGCCTCAATAGGACCACAGTCAAGGCCATCACAGTGTCTGGCAAGTGCCTCCTGGACCATTGACACCAAGATCTGGGGTGGAGGTTGGTTTGGTTTTGAGAAAAGAGCTTGGATGTTGTCTCCATCATGTAGTAAATCACAAATTCTTCCCCTGAACCCTCCCCCACATCTCTGTCGTCTCTCTCCTCCCCTTGCTCTTCTGATTTCTCATGGCAGAGCTGGGGTCCAGCCTTGGAAATGAGGAAGGGGATTCTCTCAGCCCCAGAAAAGTACCATGTAGTGGAAGGGGCTCCACAGAGGGGGAAACACAAGGGGACTCATCGTCAACTCTCTTCTTCTGTCACTAACTCCTTCCTTCTCTCACCTCCTTCTTTTCTGTGGCCTACTCCGTGGGCTCCAGGAACCATACAAGGCTTTGGGTGAAGCTGACCTTTTTCTCCTCAAACAGAAGAGTGAAACTCCCTCCAAGGAGGATGAGCAGGACAATCCCCTGCCCCTGCTCTGCTCCAGGCTCACCTAGTGGCTGACTCTGCTGCCCTCTATGCAGGGCAGGGGCCCTGGAGGAGTTGCACAGGCGGCCTGTCCTCAGCCTGTCCAAACTGAGCTACCCACCAACACCAGAACCTCCCTCTGGCCAGGCTGCATGGAAACAGCCACAGTGTAACTACCTCTGAGCTGTATGCTGGCTCTGAGGTCACCAGCTGTGTAACGCTGCCTGACACCAGCTTGTGAGCTGTTCTAGAGGAGGGCAGTGAGCGATGGGGCTTACCTGACAGATAGGTAGATTCCTCCATGAAGTCCCTTCACTGGGCAGAAGGAGCAGTGCCACAAAGTGTGTAGTTTACAGAGAAGGTTGAGAGTCTCAGCCCTTGTTAAACTGTAACTGCTTCTCTCTAGAGGTTTCTCTTCTCTGTAATATTCACTCCACAGGCCAGGAAGTGAGAGTCCTCTTCACACTGAGAAATCCATTGGGTTAGAATTATTGAGGTCCTAAGGTCATGTAGACTAGCTGGTCTGCTCTCATTGTCTTATAAATTATTTAACAAACAGGAAAAACCTTCCCTTCTGAGCCTCAGTTTCCTCCTCTGGAAACTGGAACAAAATAGCTGGACCTTATAAATGTTGTGAGGATGTTTATTATGACATTTATGACTTTAGAGTCCTTAACGGTAACTCATATTTAGGGCTCAGTCAAGCTGTCAGATAGTGTTATTTGTATGAACATTGTTGTTATCAGCTTTCAGTCCAGCAGAACTGGGTGAAAATGCTGTTTATCAGTCACCACTTCTGTGACCTCCAGTAGTTTTTAAGCACCTTGTATCCCAGATTCTGTCTGTGCTCCATGGGGGTGACACCCACCCCTCATGGGGGTGGAAGGACCAGATGATGGACAGTGTTTCCCACCCTTCCTGGGCCACTGAACACAGTCGGTGTATCCTTACCATGAATCAGCACTGAGTGGACAGGTCAGGGCCTGCCCTCTGAGACTGTCATCAGGGCTGGAGAAGAGAAAACAGAGGGGACACAAGGGGAGAGGGGAGAGGAGTCAGGAGGACAGTGAACCGGATGAGGGAGTGTCAGTGTGAGAGCACGTGCACAGTTAGAGCCGATGGAAGGTTCCAGTGTGTGAAATGACAGGATGCAACCATAGGCAGGGGATCAAGTGAGACCTTTACCTTCACACGAAGTCAGACCATCGGGGAGGTTCCTGTCCTGGGTCCTCAGTCCCTTCCCTAGTCACTGCCTCTCCACCCCCATCTGCCTGTGGGTCCTTCCCCTGTGGACCCAGGTCCACCATGGTTTCTTAAAGCCTTTTCTCACAAAGACTGTAAGATGACAACACTCAGAAACCACACACAGATGGGGACAGTTCCTTCCTCCCTAACCAGGCCTCCCACCTGCAAGGCCCCTTGTGGTTTCCCCTGAGTGGACTTGGGCCTCAACCCTCCCTTCTTCCCTTCTCCTTTCAGCAGAAAATGACTATTCAGGCTACTCAGTGGGGACTGTCGCTGGCATCGTGATTGGGGTTCTCATCCTGGTGGCTCTGGGGACCTCCCTGGGGTGTTTCCTGTACCACAGGAGGACTGGGAGATATGATGGCATTTCCTTCACCAGAATCCTGCCCCCACCAGAGGCTGACCCCATCACACCCCAGGCCAGGAGGATGGAGGCCCCTCCCTGAATCCACCCACCATGTGAGGGGGATCTGCTGGCCCAGGATCTGAAGGGCATCCTGGCCAAAGTCACGCAGCTGAGGGTAGCAGAGCCTGCACAGGCTGGGTGGGCGCAGGCGCCCCCACATGGCCAGTTTGGGAACCACAACCCCTGATGTGTGAGACAGGAGACCTGGTCCTGGACAGGACAGCAGACCCTGTGCTGTTGTTTTGGCCTCCAGTGCAGGCAGATGGAGACGGAGGACAGGCCCCTGTCACAGTTCAGTCCTGGGCCTGAGGGGTGGGTCTGTCCCCAGCAGGCACCACATCCATCCAGAGGCAGCAGGCACAGTTCCCCCAGTGTCCTGCACAAGCTGCTGGCCCTGCTTCCCTCTGAGTCCTTGACTTTCCTACAAAGTCAGACCCCCGGGATGGTTCCTATCCTGGGTCCTCAGTCCCTTCCTCATTAACTGCCTGTCGAACCTGACCTGCCTGTGGGTCCTTCCCCTGTGGGCCCAGCTCAGCCATGAGTTCTAAGGCCTTGTCTCAGTTTCCCTCTCCTGGGCTCCTCCCCCTCCTAAAGAGTAGAGAGAAGTCTGCACCCTAAGAGGAAAGGAAACCTTCCTAGTCCCAAGTTTGACACCAAAGTGACATCAAACAGCTTTGTGACACCACAGCTCCCCCTGCTCCCCTCACAAATATGTCTGACCTCTCCTAGGGCCAGTGACCTACAAGGCCTCACAGAGCACCGACCCCCAGCACCCACCCCTGGTGAGTGTCTGCTCAGCCTGGGAGATGCTGGGCCCCTGACCTGCCCACAGTGTCCACTCCTGTTGTGCCCCTGGGGCTCTGACCCTTCCCTGGGCTTCAAGGCAGAGCTCTCAATAACCTATCAGCACAGGGGACCCCAATCACCCGTCACCCCTGACCTGTAGGGCTGTGTCATGTGTCACCACCTCCCTCACTGAACCTGAAAAATGGCCAGAGGGTCTGTGTCTGGGAGATGCTCTGTCACCCCTGGCTGTCTGGAGCTAAAGGACCCAGCCTCTTCCAAAGACAGGTGAAGCTTCCTCACCCCTAGGTGCTAACTCTTGTGTCTGCCACCAGGCCAGGGTCCCTCTGGAGCCTCCATCTCCCTGGTGAGTCTGTCCCCTCCCCGTCTGTCTACCCAGGGTCCCAGCTGTGCAGGCTCAGGGCAGGGACACCGTCCAAAATCGCCACACAGCACAGACCCCATCCCCAAAGCAACCAGCAAAAAGACCACCCTACCCTGGCCAGGAGAGGGCACCCACATCAGGGACAGACCTCCACCCTGTCCTGAGTCTGCCCTGGTCCCCTGGGGCAGCCTGAGGGGAACCCTGGGGTCCAGCATGGGGCAGAGCAGGCACTGAGAGCACCAGCCAGGGTTCCCAGGCTAACAAGGGCAAGGGGGGTGCAGTGTGGACTGAAACTGGGGTGCAGGGTGACAGGTAGGTGTGGGGACAGCTGCTCAGGAGGCAGAGCTGTCACTCCTGTGCAAAAATGGCCTCCCACCCTGTCCCCTGATGCCCTTTCTCTGCCCCCTGCACAGGGCCCCCTCCCCGGCCCCAGGACAGCCAGCCCCATCTATGAGGTGAGTGTGGGTGATGAATGTTCGGTCCTGCAGGTCAGAGGGGCCCAGGACCTGCCCCCAGCCCAAGCCTGGCTGTGCTCCATGTTCGGGAAACGGCAGCATAACGTGCAAACAGAGGGTGGGGAGAGGGAGGTGCCCAGGGACAGGCATCCCTGGCACAAGCAGGCCCCAGCGTGCCTGGGAAACGCTGCACTTGTTCTGAGGGGGCTGCAGGGCTCAGGGGCCTCTCCTTCCCTCACAGGACTTGCTGCACCCGAGCTCAGACGTGTACTGCCGCATCAGCCCCAGAGCCGACGGGGCCTCCTAGTTCCTCCGGGTCCTGCTCCTCCAGGGCTGTGGGAGGGACAGCCTGAGGCCCAGACCCTGGGGGGCCGGGAACTGCATCCTGAGCCAGAGAACCAGCCCTGAGCCCAGAGGATATTCAGGGACCTTGGCCTGAGGTCAGGGTCCCTCTTGATTACTGATGACCCAGACTGGACACGCTGACCCTGATGGACCATGGTAAAGACTCCCACCTTCGAGAAAGTGACTGGGTTTGTGAGGCACCAAGGACCACCTGTGTGATCTGAATAAAGGGGGCCTGCCCCTCTTTTGCTCTTTTTCTATAATGGGTACTTTTTAAAAAATATATTATGTATTTTTTTCATGGGGTGGGAGGAAGAAGGGAGTAAGAGAGAGAGAGAAACAGATACGAGAGGGAAGTGTGGATCTGTTGCCTCTCGCACACCCTCAAACTGGGACCTGGCCCACAACCCAGGCCTGTGCCTTGAACGGGAATCGAACCAGTGATGTTTTGGTTTGCAAGATGACACCCATCCTATTGAGCCTCATCAGTCAGGGCTCAAAGGGAACTTTTTTTAGCAAAAAATCACCTGAAACACTGGGTCCTTTCTCTCCAGTGTCACACAGGAAAAGCAGCTCTAAGTTACCCCAGCCCCTTGTCTCTGTTTCCTGGAGAGAGGACAGGGCCTGTGTGTGGAGATGGATCCATGCTAGAGGAAAGGCAGAGCCCTGCCCAGGGTGCCCTTTTTGTTGTAGCATCGTCTTCATGTGCCAGGGTTTTGAGTTCAGTCTGCAGTCAGGGCACTTGTGAGAATGAAACCAATGAATTCAAGAATGGGTGAAACAACAAACCAATCTACCTCTCTCTCTCTCTCTCTCTTCCTCTCTCTCTCTCTCTCTCTCTCTCTCTCTCTCTCTCTCTCTCCCCCCCCTTCCGCTCTCTCTCTCAAATCAGTAAATAAAGAATAAAAATAAATAGAAAATTAAAATAAAGGAAATGCAGAGATGAGAGGAGCTTCACCAACCAGGAGAGCCCTGCTCTGTCTCACAGGGCCCCAGAGACCAGGCCACGGACCACACCCCAGGGTTTGCCCCTTGGCACATGTACACACTGTCTTGGGAGCAGAGAATAGGGGTCACCTCGTGTTCTCACAAAGATGAGCAAGGATGCTTCTGTGGGGTCATTGCCTGCACCCATGGGTAGGGCACATATTCTGGATGGGACCTCGTCTGAGTCTCCCAGCATCCTATACCCTTCTTTCTGCCTCACCAAGGCTTCCATGGAGACAGGACAAAGTGTCTCCTCCTCCACCTGACCCAGGTCCTCCCACACTCACCTCACCTGCAGCCCCCTCTGCACACTGGGCCTGCTGTTCTCAGTCCTTCCCTGAGGGCCCAGGATGGGTGCTGTTCCCAGGTAGGTCCACTCGGGTCAGGGTGCCCATGTTCAAACAACAAAGCTGGTCCAACACCAAGATGTAGAATCACATTCAGGGGGACGTTCCTCGTTGCCCGGGCATTGTCTGTCACGAGATAACACATATAGTAACAAACCATTGAAGGTTCGTATCATGAAGCAAGTCTCAGAAATGACATACAACATTTTTACATAGGTCAAAAGCAAACAAATGGAAACAATATATATTGTTCAAACATATTACACAAATGTGATTGAAGCATGTAAAAATCCAGGCAAGTAAAATGGTGGTTACCACCTGGAAGGAGGCAAAGAGATGGGATGGGAACACACGTATAGGTAAAATGCAGCTAAAAAGAAATATCCTATTTCTTTTTGGTGTTAAGTTGTATGAATTCTGTGGGGGATACCGTCCAGCAGTATCCATCTGGGCTGCAAATACTCATCGAAACATGCTAAAAACATACACAGAGACAACCAGGTCCTGTTGGAGAATAGGAACAGAAGGGCCACTCCTCACGTGGGGAACGCCTTGGCCACCCTCTCTCCTGGAGGGCACCACTTGGCCACCCTCTGTCCTGGAGGGCGCCACTTGGCCACCCTCTGTCCTGGAGGGCGCCACTTGGCCACCCTCTGTCCTGGAGGGCGCCATGGCCACCCCCTCCAGTAGGGAGCACCTCGTGTCCATACCCAAGCAGATTTTTATTGAGAAAACAGACTTAGTTTATGGATTCACAATCTGGCAGAAGAGATCAAAAGATGTAAACAACTTACAAAGGTGGGGACAGAATTCCAGGCAAGGTTTGGGGTTTTAACATATGGCTCAAAGGGCAGTTTTGGTTTCCTGTCTGTGCTTTTAAATTCCAAGATAATAACATCCTCCAGCAAACAGATCTCACAGGATCTTGCATATTCTATGTCCCAGGCCTGATTACCCCCCCCCCCCCGGAGCCACCGTTTCCAGTCTGGGCTGTTTCGCCCCTGCAAGCCTGAGAAGACAAAGGCAGCCAGGAGACTTGGATTTCTCACATCCAAGAACAAAGACTCAGGCTTTGACAAAGCCAAGGGGGCAGGGGTTGATGTCAATCACCCCTTCATTTCCACAGCCCCTTCTCTCAGGGCATTCCCACGTGATCATGTCTGTCTTAGATTCATTCTCTTTCTTAGAGAATTGTTACCCATCATTGACTGCCAATCATGCCAGGGAAATAAGTTTTGTCTCCTTCAGTGGCTCCTGGTCTGGAGGTCTTTCACTCAGCCTAAGTCACAGGGGGTTACAGCTTCCTGAGACCAGGCAGGGCGGTCCTCAACAGGATTCCTTATATATTTTGGATATTAACCCCTTATCAGATGTATCATTTTTTTCTTTTCCTCCCAGCTTCATTAATTGACAATTAAAATTATGTGTCTTTAAGGTATACAACTTGATTATTTGGTATACATTGATAAATAATCATCACACTCAACATAATTAACATATCCATCACCTCACACAGTTACCTTTTTGTTGTGTGTTTATGTTTATTTTTTTACTTTTCCCACTCAGTGGGTTGTCACTTTTGCTATGCTGTGCTTTACATCCCCATGACTATTCTGTAACTACCAATTTGCAGCTGTTAATCCCTTCACATTTTTTACCCAGCCCCCAGCCCCTTTCTCATATAGCAACCATCAGTTTGTTCTTTATCTGTGGCTCTATATTTATTTTGTTTGTTCATTAGATTCCACATGTAAATGAAATCATATGGTAATTGTCTCTGTTTGACTTATTTCACTTAGCATAACAATGTCTAGGTCCATTAATGGTTTTTGCAAATGGTAAGGTTTCATTTTTTATGGTCAAGTAACATTCCATTGTATAGATATACCACCTCTTCTTTATCCAATCATCCACGTTGGACACTTAGGCTAGTTCAATGTATTGGCTATTATGAATAATGTTGCAATGAACATAGGAATGCATATACCTTTTCAAATTAGTGTTTCGGATTTCTTAGGACAAATACCCAGACGTGGGATTGCTGGGCCATATGGTAGCTCTACTTAAAATTTTTTGAGGAACGAACCTCCATACAGTTTTCCACAGGGGCTGCACCAATTTGCAATTCCCCCAACAGTGTATAAGGGTTCCCTTCCTTCCCACATCGTTACCAACACCTGTTATTTGTTGATTTATTAATGAAAACCATTCTGATGGGTGTGAGGTGACCATCTCACTGTGGTTTTAATTTGCATTTCTCTGATGATTAGTGACATTGAACATTTTTTCATATGTCTATTAGCCATTTGTATGTACCCTTTGTAAAATAAGCTTGAAGGCCTTCCTTTCTTTTGAACTCTTTGGAATAGTTTGAGAATAGGTGTTAATTCTTTGCTGAATGTTTGGTAAAATTCACCAATGAACCAAACTGGTCCAGGGCTTTTGTTTGTTGGGAGGGTTCTTTTTTATTATTATTATTACTGATGCAATTTCATTGGTAGCAATCAATCTGTTCAGATGTTTTATTTCTTTTTAATTCATTCTTGGAAGATTGTATGTTTCTAGACATTTATCTATTTCTTCCACATTGTCCAATTTATCATATAACTTCACAGTATTTTCTTATCATCTTTTGTATTTCTGTGGTGTCAGGTGTCACTTCTCCTCTCTCATTTTTTTCAGCTTTAACATTTATTTCTTTTTAATATATTTTATTGATTATGCTATTATAGGTGTTCCATTTTCCCCCTTTTATTACCCTCTGCCCTGCACCTCCTCCCAACTGCACCTCCCCCCCTTAGTTCATGTTCATGGGTTGTACATATAAGTTATTTGACTTCTCCATTTCCTATACTATTCTTAACCTTCCCTGTCTATTTTCTACCTACCAATTATGCTACTTATTTTCTGTACCTGTCCCCCATTCTCCTCCATCCCCCTCTCCGCTGATAACCCTCCATGTGATCTCTATTTCTGTGATTCTGTTCCTGTTCTAGTTGTTTGCTTAGTTTGTTTTTGGGCGGGGTTTTTTTTTATTTTTTTAGGTTTGGTTATTGATAGTTGTGGTTTGTTGTCATTTTACTGTTCGTATCTTTTATCTTCTTTTTCTTAGATAAGTCCCTTTAACAGTTCATGTAATAAGGGCTTGGTGGTGATGAACTGCTTTAACTTGATCTTATCTGGGAAGCACTTTATCTGTCCTTCCATTCTAAATGAAAGCTTTGCTGGATAGAGCAATATTGGATGTAGGTCCTTGCCTTTTATGACTTTCAATACTTCTTTCCAACCCCTTCTTGCCTGTAAGATTTCTTTTGATAAATCAGCTGGTAGTCTTATGGGAACTCCTTTGTAGGTAACTGTCTCTTTTTCTCTTGCTGCTTTGAAGATTGTCGTCTCCTTATCTTTAATCTTGGCTAATGTAATTATGGTGTGTGCTTCCTTGGGTCCAACTTCTTTGGGGCTCTCTGAGCTTCCTGGACTTTCTGGAAGTCTATTTCCTTTGCCAGATTGGGGAAGTTCTCCTTCATTATGTTTTCAAATAAGTTTTCAATTTCTTGCTCTTCCTCTTCTGGCACCCCTATATTCAGATGTTGGAATGTTTAAAGATGTCCCAGAGGTTCCAATGCCTCTCCTCTTTTTTTTTTTTTTTTTAATTCTTCTGTCTTCATTCTGTTCTGGTTGCATGCTTATTTCTTCCTTCTGGTGCAAACTGTTGATTTGAGTCCTGGTTTTCTTCCCTTCACTGTTGGTTCCCTGTACATTTTCCTTTATTTCGATATTCATAGCCTTCAGTTCTTCC